ATGCCGCGGAGGGGGGGGGTGGAGCTCGTGCGGCTGCCCGCGCCGTCGTTCGCGCGGGCCTGCGTGGGGCTCTCCCCGGCCGAGGCGGTCCGGCAGCTCTACGCGGGGAGCGCGAAAGCGGTGAGAGGGCTCCCGACCGCCCTCGCGCTGCGTTTTCGTTGTCAAATCGAGGCGCTCGCCCACCCTTCTACGGGGTCGATCCATGACGAGGAGGAGGAGGTCATGACGATCCCGCGGAAGGTGATCAATGCGTTGCGGGAGACCTATCGTATCCTCCGCTTCTCCATCCCGGAGAGTTACCAGCTTCACACGAGCTGAAGGGGAGGGGGGCGCGGGGAATGTAAGAGACCTTGAAGATTTATTGCGTTTGCCGAATACGATCGCAGTATTTGATGTGATCGAGGGATGTAGGGATGACGCCCACGCGGAGTGGTTAGGCTTGTTGCCCAACCGGGCCGTGCGTTGTTGTGTTTCGGTATGAAGTATGACTCTGTGTGATACGCGTTGCTACTCATCTTTATCTGAGGCTGTACTCATTCGTTCCTCCCATCGCCCTCAACCAACTAAACACCACACATACACACACACACACACATAATAGGGAAAAAGAAAAGCCCACATTAGCGTGTGGGGAGTTTTCGCGTAGCATACCGTAAGAAATCTTAACGGAGGGAAAGAGTGAGCACTCCGTTCGCCCCCTTTTTTTCTCGTTTATTTTATACGATTCCCCCCGTTTTGGCGGGACGATCCTTGAGGATCGCCTTGATTGAGAATGTTTCGCCGCGGTGGGTTGGTGCTGGCGGCCGGGATCCCCCGCTCGGCGTGGGATCCCGCGCACTTCAACACCAACGCGCCCGACAGCTTCGCCGTCGACATCGCCGCGCGGCGGCATTGGCCGGCGAAAAAGTGGTCGATCGGCCTTGAGCCGCGCACCCCGCGGGAGTGGCTGCAGTTCTCGCTGCGCAACCTCGCCTACGCGTACAACGGCGCCCTGCGGTCCTGCAGCTCCTTCCCGGAGATGCTCGTGTACTACAAGGAGATGCGGCAGCGTGGGGTGAAGGTGGATGTGGATACGATGAACGTCCTCCTGACGCGCGCCGCGCGGTACGACAAGATCGACG